TGGCACTCTACTCAAGTACGCTGTCTCTCTCCACTTTGCGGCATCAAACAACCAAGCTGAATATGAGGCCCTCATAGCAAGCTTGAAGCTTGTAGTGGAGATAGAAGTTCTCTGCTTGACAGCTTACAATGACTCATAACTGATAGTCAATCAGGTAGAGGGAGACCTTGAAACAAACAAAGAAAAGATGCAATAATACCTGTCAATGGTCCAAGCTTTATTGAAAAAATTTAATCACTTCTAGATCCACCACTTGCCTAGAGAGGAGTACGCAATGACAGATGCCCTCGCCAAGTTTGCATCTACCAACATACTCATGGGCAGGGGTGGAGCGAGAAAGTCATGCTAGGGTGGGCACAAATATTTTAACAAACTAATTTTTTTTTTTTTTTACAATCAATAGAAATAAGACAATAATTTATATTTAATTACATCCTATTTAATACTTAAAAGTTCATTAAATTCAACATACCAAAATTTGGTAAGCTTAGTATATACAAACGACACCAAATTATTTTTTTTTACAAAATATGGGCCAATTAAAATTATTTAGAATTGACTCCGGTGAATTTTTATTTTTTGAAACCATTGCTTAAAAACTTTATTATTTTTTATATACACCATCATTTTATCACTTTGGTCTTTATATACATAACATATCCAAAATGTGTCAAAAAAATTTATATTCTTCTAGTTGGGTAACTGGGAGTGAGTGAGACAGAGAGGAAAGAAAAAAAGATAACTAATAAGATAGGTGTTACTGATGTCTGTCAAGTGGGCCAAAAACTTTATTTTTTAATGGTGGGCCAAAAGTTTTATTTTTTTAATCGGTTTGGTGATTTGTGATAGGTTAAAGATTTAATTTTTTAATAAATTTGGGTAGATAGTAGTGGGCTCAAGTTTTTTTTTTTTTTAAATGGGCTTAATTTTTTAATTCTTTTGAGTAAATAATGTGAGTCTAATATTTTTATCTTAGATTTTGGGTGGGCACAAATAATATATTATATAAATATATAATATATATACTTAACTAAAATTTTTTTTTTTGAGGGGGGGCATGTGCCCACCCTGGCCCTAACCTCCCTCTGCCCTTGCTCATGGGCCCATCACTAACAGGCCATTAATTTGAGCCAAACAGGCTCAAGATAGAGGAGAACGATGTTAATTGTGCATCCTTCAAAACTAGTTGGATGACACCTATCCAAGCCTACCTAGAGAAAGGCGTTCTCCCAGGCAATCCAGTTGAAGCCAAAAAAAAAAAAAGAACGAGAGTATCTAGGTATGTCATCCTCCATGACACTCTCTACAAGAAAAGTTATTCACTATCTATACTGCGCTGCTGCACCCGAGGAAGTAGATTGTACCATGAGAGGATATGTGGAAACCACTCAGGAGGGCATGCATTGGTTCAAAAGGCAGTAAGACGAGGTTATTAATGGCCTAGCATGATCAGAGACGCCCGCGAGTTCGTGAGGAAGTGTGACAAGTGTCAGCAATTCGCAACCGTGCCCAGACAGCCACCGAAAGAGATCACCACCATCCAAAGCTCATGGCCTTTCTCCACGTTGGGGATTGAAATCCTAGGTCCTCTACCTATGAGTTAGGGTCAGTGTAAATTTATAGTGGTAGTCATTAACTATTTCACTAAATGGGCAGAAGTCGAGGCATCGCTTTCAAAATACCTCATGTAATTGTAATCGATAACACCAAGCAGTTTAACAATAAACTCCTTAACAACTTTTGTGCTGACCTATAGGTCAAGCAGCCCTACTCCATCCCCGTCGAACGGACAAGTGGAGGTCATCGTTAGAACCATCCTTTATAACCTGAAACCCAGGTTGAAGAGTGCGAAGGGGAGATGGATGGACAAACTCCCAAGAGTACTATAAGCTTACCGAACAACACCAAGAAGCCCCACGGGTGAGACCCCTTTCTCCTTAGCTTATGGGATAGATGCGGTCATATCGGTCGAGATTAGGGTACACTCTCTTAGGATCCAACACCATGACCTTACCACTAACGAAGAAGGCCTCTGCATCAACCTTGACTTGGTAGAGGAGAAGAGGGAGATAGTCATGCTCAGGAATGCAGAGTACAAGCGTCACATAATCAAGTACTACAACCCGAGGGTGAAGCCTCACTCCTTCTTACCTAAAGACCTAATCCTCAAAAAGGTCATCATATCTACCAAAGACTCTCAGGAAGGGAAGCTAGGCCCAAACTGGGAAAGACCTTGCACGGTCATGGAAGTTGTAAAACTGGGCACATACAAAATTCAGAACTCTGAGGGGAAAGTCTAAGCCTATCCATGGAACACAAAGTACTGAAGAGATATTACCAATAGCTGGAGGCAAGACAATGGATGCATAAGTCAATAGTCAACATTTAAACTATCTCTCGTTGTCAATTTTCATTGTTATCTACTTCAGATTATGAAATAAAATTTTGCAAAATTTTATCCTTTTCAAGAGTTGTCTCTCATTCCATAGAAGTTTATAAACTATTTACAAAAGATAGAACATGACCTAGCAACAAAAAGAGAAACACGTGAATAAAAGTATGGTATTTCTGATTATCACTTACTGCTCCCCGATCCACTCCCATCAAATTTCTCCTCCTCATCATTAGTCCCTGGTGCCTTATAAGGGACGAAGCCAAAAAGGTCATAGACAGGAAAACTGCTGAGACCTTTCCCTTAAGTTCCTTATAACCATCGATAAAGGCGTCTGCCACGACCCTCTCAGCAACATCCCTCTTCTTCTCCATCTCAACGGAGTGATCATCTATCCTATAGCTCTCTCAAGAGTTGCTCAAAAGTCGACCTTTGCCACGATAGCCCTCTCCCGAGTTATTCGTAGCTCGGCCTCTACTTCAGCAGCCCTTTCACAAGACGCTCGCAGCTTTGTCCCTGCTCTCACACAGGCAACCTCTTTGTCAGCCTCCAGTTGGGTGACCCTCTCACGAGACTCCAGAAGCCCAATCTCAAGGGGTGCAACTCTCTCATGTGCTAGCCCCAATTGTTCCTTAGTAGCCTCTCGCGCCCGCCTCTTGAGCCCCAATTGCTCTTCAGTAGCCCTTCATGCTTGCCTCCCCTCTGCCAAATCACTGAATGCCCCTCCAAGCTTCATCGTGCTTGAAAACAAGTAAGGAAAAACATCAACCACCTACAAGCATGCAAAAAGTAGGACATGAGGGAAAAGGAATGGATACAAAATTAAAGATGAGTAAAAGGCGTACCATAGTAAAGCCCTCCATAGTAGTGTCAATGATGCCCTTTGGACCTTGACAACCAACCTTTTGGATCTCCGTGGCAGTCACAAACCTCCAAAGTTTCTCCTTGGCCAGAGTCACATCCTGCAACATGGATACTGAACCACTACTAGAAGCAAGGCAGCTATGTGGAGCTCCGGTCCTCGTAGGAGACCGCACCGGAGCCTCAATCATTACAACCATACTAGGACTAACTCTAGAATGCGATGGGATCACAACCCGGGAAGAAGTAGGGGCATCACTGGGTCCTACCTCCTGAGAACTAACTTGGCCAACGGACCATGGCTGAAAACTGCTAGGAGAGTCAGACTTCCCCTCTTAGAGGAAGAAGGGGAAGATGTCACCCTAGAAGCATAAAGAGCCCCCATCAGCACTCTGTCAACAGTGGAACCTGTGGAGTTGGTGTAAGAGAAAGAGCCTATAAAGTCACAACCATCAAAATTCTATTAGAAAGATCAGATACCTTTTCTTTTCTGCCTAAGGAAGACTTTGGGATGACCCGATGTAGACATGATCTCTGAAAACTCCTTGAAAGGATGATCCCGCACAACCTGGAGTCTACTATCCTACTCCGCAGATAGCAAGGGAGGAGTTGCAAAGGAACCAATCACACAGTAGGAGCAGATACGTGACAATAAGATGTAAAGACAAAAGGTAAAATTCTTACCTAGCTTAGTCCTCGGAGCAGTGTCCCACCTCGAAGGCACTAGGTCACAATCTCCCTCGGTGGCCTGCTCTCCTCCAACAAAGAAGAACCTAGACTTCCAGCTATGGCAATTTGAAGGAAGTCTTGTGATGAACTTGTCCGACCTCGGGGCAAAACGATACCACCCTTGATGAGGAAAAGGATTATCTAGAAGCACGTACATAGTCAAAAACTCCTCGAAAGGGGGAAGAACATCAACACTGTGAACTAGTCACCATAATGAAAATAATGTCATGATCACTCTCCACCCATTGAGAGTCAACCACCTTAGAGCCAGTGGCAGGTGTCCCAGGATCCGACATATGGGCCCAGGTATCAGGAACCTCAAACCCTCCTCTAAAACATCCTCATAAAAAATAATCTCTCGTGAGGAGTTATAATACGACAGCTCATCCTCCTCAGCCCGACGACACATAATGGTGGGAGGCATATAGTACGAAGACACAATAAGGGCGACATCATCATTGCAACCAATTGAGCTAAAAATAGAGGTTACCTTTGAACTATCACACACAACAATCCCCCTGCTTCGCTGAGAGCCTTGTGTAGTAGCCTTCGTCATGTCCTTGTCAGAATGGGCACTTGCTAACAACACAGAATCAGGACAGAATTAAAGTCAATATCAAGAGAATACCAACGTCAAAGCAAGGCGAGCTGAGTCCTCGGGTAGTCGAAAATGCAAAAAGTAGACATGTGCAAAATCTACTTTTTCACTAATTTGCGATTAAAATTTAAATTTTGTAAGAAAGAAGCATTTTTTGGAAAAATTTGGTGCCCAAGCCGCCTTTAGCAATTTGGACGTCTTAGATCGCAAAAAAATACCCATATTAAAAAAAATGCCTCAAACAGACAACCAAGTGCAAAGTTATGGTCGTTTAAAGTTTTGTCATTTCATTATGCTTCACCCTCGTCACCCAAGCTAGCCAACACCTAACACCTAGTGCCCAAGTGCCCAACATCTCAGGCGTTGCCTCCAGCCTGCCTAGTCCACTCCTGGCATCGCTCCGCTGTCCAATGTTGTCGCCTAACTAGCCTGGTCGTTGGCGTCGCCTCTTGTGGCCTGCATCACCTTGATCAAGGCATCGCCAACCGGTGCCCCAAGCATTGCCACCTGGCATCCCCTCAATACCAGTGTCACCTTCCAAGGATATCAACAAAAATTAAAGTTCGAACCAAATCATCTTACCCGTTTGAAAAACATCTGCTTATTGCTTTCTAACACTCGATAATTACCCAAAATTTAGTTCAGTCCCAACGCCATGGTCGTCGCCTACGCTCCAACTCACTTCAGTGCCTTCAGCGAAGCTGGCATCACCTAGGCCTAGTCCAGCAACCTGTTTCCCTTATTGCCAGGCGTCGCCTAGCACGAAGCTGGCATCGCCCAGCTTGTTGCTGACGCCTCCCAGCGTGTTGCTGACGTCGCCCTTGTGGCCTCCATCGTTGCTCTGCCTGCCTTCGATCTCGCCTGATCTTGCACTACTACCTCCGTCAAAAGCATTGAAAGCGTCGTTGCCCATTAGCTCATCACCAAGAGTGAGACCCAAGGCACCGCTTATGCAACCCAAGGCACTGCCTGCGCAATCCATGGTATCACCCACAAGACCCGAGGCGTCGCCTCCTTTCATCGGAGCCTCCCCCTTTATGAAGTTGGTTTTTCTCAAATCGTTGACGTCGCTCAAGCATTTGGCATCACCTATGACGTCTTCGAGGCCATCTATACGCCTAGCCCCCATACCACCTATGTCTTTTCCTATGTTGGCTTTGGTGACAATCCTTCCTGAACCTCCGGTGGATGTGCCGCCACTCCTTGGGATATTAGGGAAGTTCATGACAGACTTAGTGGGAGTTTTCATGAGTTCCTTTGGTTTTGAGATTCCTTTTCTCGCTTGTACCCAAATCTCTCTTAAGGAGGTAATTTGTATACCTTGGTTGTGAAAGAGATATGGTGGGTAAAGTGAGGATGCTCTTTAAATCCTGATGGCAATGCCAGATGAAAAGGGGGGGTTTTGTTATCAAGTTTGATAGGAAACCCGAGAAGGGATGATTAGAGCAGTAGGTTTCCAACCATAATGTCATCGAGGAAAAGAAGGAATTTCAAGAGTGCAAAAGGATGAGGGACTGAGCCGTGGGGAAGAAGATACCTGATTTGCTTGAACGAGAAAGCTCACTCATGCCCACAATCTCTTACCATTGCAAGGGCTTGGGGCATGGGGGCAAATGATGAGCCAAATTCTAACTGGGTCAGGTCCAATTGATTAAGTAAACCCAAATCATTAAAAAGGCAGGTTAATCCCAACTCGTGAATTCGACCCAATCCAGAGTCCAAGAAGATTAGCGTACATGGGAAGCAATCGTCGGGATAGTCACTCTCTAAGATTGATACTATCTCTAATTGTACCTATTCCTATAAGTTAGTACCCTTCCCATCATGTCACCGCCTCACCTAAGACTTTGTGCCTACAAATTATAAGCCCTCTCCACATGATAGGGGTATCTCTCTACACACCCTCCACACAACTATTTCTCTCTCCTTGCTAACCAACCTCTCCCAGAGTTTACCTTTGCTCTCTCTCTATCTCTCTCTCACCTTACTTTATTAATAAAGTATCTGGCCACCGTTGTCACCTTCGGAAGTGGAGTAGGTCCCCCTAACCAAACCACTATACATTTGTTTGTTGACCAAATATTTGCCTTTTGCTATTGATTACTTTAGTGATTGTTTCATTAATTATTCTAAACCATACACTCGATTGTTGATTATGCATAAACCGGTTTTGTGCATCATGATAACTCTTTATTGCATTTCTCATTGGTATTATTCTGATCTCTTTCTTACTCTCATGTATTTTTTATTTTCTTTTCTTTTATTTTTAAAATTTACAACGAGGTGTGTGTGCACGACTAATTTTCAAACCCCTTAATGTTTGTTATTTAATCACTTAGATCCCTTAACATTTAAAAAAAGGAGAATCACACTCAGACTCCCTAATGTTTGTCACTTAATTACTCAGATCTCATAACATTTGAAATATTACCTACAAACCTCTTGAGGTTTGTACGTACGTAACACTTAGATCTTGCCGTCAATGTACGATAGTATATCCGTTAATAAATTATATCTGGACCCCCTGAAGTTTGTAGACTTGTAATATTTAGATTCCTCAAATTTAAAATATTATATTTAGACCAAATGTACACCAAGCAAAGATAGAATATCAAATATTTTAAATTTTACTACTAAAATTTATGTTCTATTATGACATTTATTGAAATAAAATAAAAAATATAAATCTAATTTTTTCTTAAAAAATCATAATTAGCATACAATTATACTATCTTTTGGAATAAAACTAAAAAATTAAACAAGGGGGTCAAACTGTAATGAACACAATATATTCTAACTTTAATTGGGATAATTTGGTCGTTTAAACGTATAATAATTATGATTTTTTAAGAAAAAATTAGATTTTTTTTAATTTTATTTCAATAAATATCATAATAGAACATAAATTTTGGTTATAAAATTTATATTATATTATGAATGACTTAGATCTCTTGTTTGATTTTTTAGTTTTATTGTAATAGATAGTATAATTGTATAATAATTATGATTTTTTAAGAAAAAATTAGCTTTTTATTTTTGATTTTATTTCAATACATGATACAATAGAACATGAATTTTATGAGATTTAAGTATTATACACCTACAAATTTTAGGGCATTTGAGTGTAATTTACTAACGAATATATTAACAGACATTTGACGGTAGGGTCTAAGTTTTATTCACGTATAAATTATAGGGGTCTATGTATAATATTTTAAATATCAGGGTGTTTGAGTGATTAAGTAACAAACTTTAGAGGGTCTGAGTGTAATTCTTATTTTAAAATATTATATACATATCCTTTGAGATTTATATGTGCATAATACATTGACCATAAGTAAATTATATTTAAACCCTTAAAATTTAAAATATATAATACTTAAATCTCTTAAGTTTAAAATATCATACTTACACAAAAAATATTTTAATTAAAGATAGAATATCAAATATTTTAAATTTTACAACCGAAATTTATATTTCATTATGTCATTTATTGAAATAAAAATCAAAAATAAAAATTCATTTTTTCTTAAAAAAATCATAATTAGTATTATTGATGTCAAAATTTGGATCACCTCCATGTCAATTAATTGGACTTTGATCACTTAAAAAAAAGTCGCAGACTAGAAGAGAACTCTCAGGATCGACTCTTCGATGTTCAAGTCTATAAGTGATTCAAAGTATGAACTACATTTAGAAGTTATGATTGACATATTTAGAGTATCTTAGACTAAATGAAATTTTCACCTTGGATCAATATTTTCAGCATCAAGTACAAACATATGAAATAAACCTAATCAACACATTTGCATGTTCCATTATATCATCTATTGACATAAAAACCCAAACAAAATTTCAATTTTTTTGAAGAAAAATAGTAATTAGTATAAATATTCAAATAACTCAATTTAACACTCATTTGCATAAAATTATATTATTTATTGGAATAAAACTAAATAAGAGGTGAAATTGTAATAGACATAATATCTTCTATTTTTAATTGGAATAATTTGGTCGTTTAATAGATTCTGTTAATTTCATAACTAATAAGGGATATAAATGTAATATTTTAAATTTGAAAGATTTAAATTTTTACATATTTACTAATGAACTAGTAATGCATCACGTGCGTTGCACGTGAATAATTTTCATATACAAAATATTAATAAAAAGTATTAGGTATATGTGTACCTACATTAAATATCATTTCAAATTTATCAAAATTATATTTTTATTGCTTGTATTATATTATAAAATTTGAAAATATTGTTTGTTCCCAACGATTCATTGTTTTAAGTATAAAAAAAATAAAAATAATTTATTTGAGATTCATTTTATTATGTTTCAACTTATAATTTATTGAATAAAATAAAAATAATTTTTAATATTCTAATCAATGCTTACTATAATTAGTTGGGTTAATAGAGATAAAATATAGGACTAATAACACTTTGGTTCTCTAAAGTTTGAGTTTTTTGTCAGTTTAGTCTTTATTATATAAATTTTGTCAATTTAGTCTCTAAAATATTTAATTATTATTTAAATAGTTCCTAACCAGATGGTCCATTAAGTTTTTTAATAAAAATAACCACATGTTATTCCGTCAAATAGTATCACGTGATCACTTCAATAAAAAATTTAACAGATTGTCTGTATATGGATTTAAACATTAACTAAATATTTTAAGAACAAAATTGACAAAATTGATACAATGAAGACCAAATTAACAAAATATCATATTTTAGGGACTAAAAGTTCTTTTCACCTTAAAATATAAAATACTACTCTATAATATATATTTTAAAAGAATATTAAAATTCTAAAATTTAAGTTTTACTTAAAATACAATATAATTTTTTTTTATATAAACTCTTAATAAAATATGAAAGTTTATTGTGATTGAAGAATTATGCTAATTTAATAAAAAATATTTTAAAAAAACTACGTAAAAGATTATTTTTTATCTTAAAAATTAAGATCCCGTTTGGTAATGTTTATATTTTTCGTTTTTATTTTGATATTTAGAGAAAACACGAAAAAAAAGACTCGTTTGATAACCGTTTTTTTTTCTGTCATCATTTTGTAAACGAGGTGCAATTTTCAAAAACGAGAAAAAAACGTTTTTCGTTTTTTGATTATGTTTTTCGTTTTTTAAAAAATCAAAAACAATAAATATTATCAAATGAGCCCTAAATGGTTGAAATTTTGGATGAAAGAAATTCACATATGTAAGGATAATGTTATCTTTATATTTAAAAAGAGTAATATTAAAAAAGATGTTAGAGGTAACTTGGAGATTTAAACGTGTAAGTATATAATGACAATTTAAATATTCAAATACTGAAGGATAGTATGATCTTTAAAATTTTTATAAGAGTAAAATAGTGAATCAAAAAATTTTCATGCTAAGACAAATGTTTCATTCTTTATTAGTAGTATAGATGAAATATATATATATTTGAAAAAAGTATAATTATTGATGAAGTTTTTGAACATTTTATTGAAAACTATAATGATACATATATTTTTTTAAGAGTAACATAGTCAATTAATTTTTTTTATAGATATTGATATTTATACAAAGATAACGGAGTAGTAAAAGAAATGTTAGAGGGTAAATTAAAAATTTAAATACATAAGTACGTAATTGTAATTTAGATATTTAACTATAGAAAGATAGTGTAGTAATTAAAATTCTTTATAAAGGTAAAATAGAGAATCAAAAATTTTTCACTTAAGGTATTTTTATTAGTAGTATAGATATAGATATAAATATACTAAAGACATTGATGGCAATGGTTAAGAGTTACATGTGTACAAATTTTAAGGGGTTTGAATATAATATTTTAAATTTTAGTTGATCTAAATGATTAATGGATAAACTTTAGGGGTTTGCTATAATTTTTCCTTCAATTTTTTTGTTCGAAGGCCGTTGAATAAGTGAAATCTCTATCCAAAAAGTTTTCAGATGAGACTCCAAATTGCTTCCCTCAGACACTGATTCCTACCGAACATAGTAAAACTGACCTTCCCTAAAAAATTCTCTCTCTGAACGTTCTTCGTCAAAGACGCGCATCCAGCGTTAGGGTTGGGGTTGGTGTTTCCAGAAAACCTCACTTCTTTCCTATCTTGAGTTCTGATTCTGAAAGTTCGATTTCGGAATCCATCAATCTTCAATTTGGTCCATTTTTAGGTCTAGGTCGAATAACAATGAGAGTTCACGAAGTTTTAGCGCAGGTTCCGGTTTCGATGGTCTCGGATTCAGCAGTTGGAGGAGGAGGAGGAGGGGTAAATGGTGCTTGGAGATTGTACGGATGGTTCTCTGAGTGCCATGGGTTTTGGCATAATATCGCTTTGATTGTCCCTTCGGCTTTGTTTGTCTTATACTTGGCATTTCAGGCGAAGAAGAGTTCTGTCAAGCTGTTGAATGACCGATCCCATATTATTATTACGTATTACGGGTTTCTTTGGCTCGTCAGTGTTCTCAATCTCGCTTGGTGTTTGCTTCAGGTGTGTTCTTTACAACCGTGTAGAACATTTGATGAATCTTTTTTTACTTGAATTATAACTTTGCTAACTAAATTAATTACCGTTTGTGGGTCAATTTTGAGCTTGGAAGGACCTGTATTATTCAAGGCGTAAGGCGCACTATGGGGTCAAGGTTGCCAGGGGTAGTTGTGATGCGTTAGACGAGGCACACGCCTCATTGAATTGAGACACATAACACGCAAACGATTTTTCAAACCATGACATACCATGACAAAAGTAAAATATAAGCAAATATTCAGAAAATGCAAACATCATAAAACATCCACCTTCCCAAATATCCCAAACAGGCTGATTTCAGTAAACAAAAGCTCATTTCACATGTTCAATAACCTGTTCTAATCTGATAAACAGCTCAGCACAAAAACAAAGTTTTTGCATCACAACTTCTCAATTTATGCAATGCCATCTGTACAAATCACAACAATTGAATTGCTTGAGCAAATGCAAACAAACTTCAAGTACTGGTAGCACATTTTACTGTAGAAAAGATGTAAGTTTTGCAAAGTTCATTCAGTAATTTGGTTTCAAGCCCCACATCTAACACATAAAGAGACATGGATAGAGAGAGAGATTGAGTGAGACGGCGATGAAAAATAAGAGAAGTAGAGTGAGAAAGAGATGGGAAAAAGGAGAGAGAATAGTAAGAAAAATCAAGGAAGAAACTTAAAGAAAAGAAGGGACAGAGGCAAAGATGAAACAAGGATGAGCAAAAATAAATAAGAGAAAATGAAAAGAGATATATATAGAGAGGGGAAGATTTGAAGAGGATAAGAAAATATAGACACCAAATCGTTTGTTAGACATATGGAGAGAGAGGTGACCCGTAGGGATTTCTTTTGACATTGCATAGCGTCACATTGGCTTTTTTACAGCTTGTTTTGTGTATCACGCAAACCTAAGACATCACACACCTATATAATGTTCATTATCCCAAATGCAATCTGGAAAAGATAGAGGCAGAACAAAAAAGTTCAATGAAGCAGATAAGTGACTTGGGCCTGAGACCACTATGTGCGCGTCTTCTTGAAGTGGCCTCGCATGGGATTGGGCAAGGCGCTACAGCTGGGCCTTGCTGCACCCCAAGGTGCTGGCCTAAGCATGCATTTAATGACCCTATGAAAGACAATTTTTGATTAGTTGTATAGTGCACACAGGAGATGTGTTCACAAACATGTACAAGGAAACAGACTTGCTTATGTGTTTTTTTATGTGGTATTTGCTATGGCTCTGGTAGTAAGTATTTTTTGATGAATGTATGAGCAATTCAAGTTTCTTTTGAACTATTAGTTCGCGTCTATCAAAGATGAATGGATACACAAAGTTGTATCATAGATTGGATTCTTGGACGAAGTTAGAAGATGATGGGAAATTAAGGATTGATATGTATTCTGAATGTTGAGTGACAAATTATGGTTTAGACTACAAGCCCTCACGATCAAATAGTGATGTGGCTGATGTGAATCTAGAGGACGTTGTCATGCTGCATACACCAAAGCACTTGATTTCCCTTGGGACTTATGTGTATATTATCAAAAGGTTATGAGTTGGTGATGTAAGCACTTATGCTATGTAATGCTTACAGTGTGAATTACTCAGATAGGTGGTTGGGGTATGCAGATACAAAGACCTTAATCATAGAGCTTAAGGATTGGACAACGCGATGAAGATGAAGAGAAAGGAAGAAAATATTTTTTAACAAGAGACAAGAAAAATTCTTCGTTTTCATGCAATTCTTAATAAAAAAATCAAGTCATTATTTTCATTTAGAAACCATACTAGGATTCTTGTGAAATGCACTTTATGCCAATATTGTTTAGAGAACTGTATAGTGCTACAAAACCAAAATGAGCATAAAATTCTTCAAACCATAGAAAGATTCTAAAAGCACCCACCAGACTGGTGTCAAAGTAAGGAAACACTACTAGGTTTCCATAAAGTAGAAAATGTTATTATTGAGTTACTCCATGGCAGGTGGAACATCGAAATTTGATACATCAATCTCACTTGGAAACCTAATCTTGTGTTTGCTTTGACTTTTGGTAATTCAGGAGACCTATTCTTGCCTTGGTATAAGTTGTTTGCTTTGGGAGGATTGATGTGGGTGTTTCCTGCATCATCCATAGGTTTTGGGCAGAGTGGTAAAGGAATGACTTTATCGAATTGTGCTATTATGGCTATTTTTTGAGTTATCTGAAAGGAAAGGAATTCAAGAATTTTTGTAGATGAAAGCGAAGAGCTGGATGGTTTATGGGGACTATATTCATTTTATTGCATTGTTTTGGGCTTTGGGTTCTAAGGAATTCAAAAGAATCCCAATTTTTAGTATTTTGGTGAGATGAAGAGCTTCATGGGATTTTTGATTTTGTAATGAATTTTCTTTTTATTATATTTTTGTTTTTCTTTTGGTTGGACTTCTTAGCCAACCCTTTTCATGTAATCTTTGACTTTTTGATATTAATGCGTTTTTCCCGTTTCCTATTTAAAAAAATGTTATAAAGTGGACTACATCTATAATCTCTCAAAAAACATCTATTTTTGCAACTCTATATTTCTGGAATTTATACCACTGCCAAATCAGAAACTCGAAATGTCCAACAATCTGAATTATAAAGAAGCTACAAGCACCTATTGCGCCTGTGTTGAACCTGAAACGCCATATATCTCAATCATAAAGCTATAAGCACCTATCGTTCCAGTGTTGAAATGAAGCAAGCTTTACTAGGTAGCCTTGTGGTCCATTTGGTAGTATGAAAGAAGTATTGGAAAAGGTATCCTAGGGAAAGAAAGTTGCCTATGGTTGGTTGATTAGGATGGAAAAGGGAAAGAGAAGAAAATGTGTTCTTTACTTTGCCATTTACCCTTTTTTTTTTGAGAAAGTGCTATTGCACCTTTTCAGAAAAAAGGTGGAGTGTTATTCGAAAGAAAAAGTATAAAAAAGAAAAGGTCCCTCATTTTCTTCCCACTTCCTCCAATATTGGGAGTAAGGAATACAATGAATGCAAAAGGAAAATGCACCCATTCTTTCTTCACTTCCCTTCCTGATCACCTCTGCTGATAAATATTGTATCTATGCTCGTCTTTTCAGTTCTCCTATCTTTACTCCCACTATTTTGTAGATGGAGTATGAACCCCCAAAATCTTAATGATTCGACTAGTCCAACATTATAGAAACATTGAAATTAGATACTTGAACAAATTTGGGAGACTAATCATACACATATAGTGTGTTGACGTTGATCTTACATTGGAAATCTGGACCCATTATGTTTCATATAATTAAAAAGGTCGGTCCTGGGTACAAGCTCCAACCACCGTGGGGTTTGGGGAGGGTTAGATATATGTAGCCTTATCCTCGTATGTGGAAAAATTGTTTTCGCAACCCTTTATGCTTTATAGGATTGATCTCTTCAATTGCAATCAGATGTTTGCAGTTACTAGTATCGGATTTAAACATCATGTGTGATGCGTTTAATCTTTATCATTGCCCCTTATGAGGTGAGGTCTGATGTTCATAACCTCATTTTATTGCTACTGACTGCTTGAAAATTGTGATGCATGTTATGTAGTGGATTATGTCTGCCCTTTACATATGCAAGAACATTTATGGTAAAACGCACTCTTTCTTCTTCAAAGGTGTGCCCTCAGTGTTTGTCTCCAAAGAAGTGAGGAACTTCATTGCTGAAACTTTGTGGTAGAATGGCTTCACCTGAATTTTCCATGCATAGACACTCGCCGTCTCATTTCAATGGCCAATTATTTCTAGGTTGAAGTAGAATAGCTGACTTCAATGAATCATCAAGAAACTCCCAAGTACACTCTTGAAAAAGGCTCTAGTATAGGAGCGGCACTCTAGTAACCCAGTTGAGAGCTTACATAATGTGCAATGAACCACTATATGCATGGCATAATGATCTGGATATTGCTACTTTAAGATAGAGTTCTCAAACCACATGTCATACTGAAATTGAACCCACTTTTACTGTTCTGTGGTGGTCACAATCAGTTGCTTGTAAGAACTAAACCGCGAAAAAAAATATTATTCGGTCAGGGAGATGCAGAAATAGTAGTCCAAGATCCATTATGTGTCCCTCTCTTGATTTTTGTATTGATTGCAAAATGGTACATAAATACTTAACTAAGACATTTGCTACCAACTCTCATGTGTAATCTAAAATAGTAAAATGTGGCCAGATGTGCATCATACTATTTATTCTCTACATGTTTTACGGTTGGCTGTTTTCTGACTTCCTTTGTATTGGAATAGGCATGGGAGTGTAGTTCTGTGAAAGAGGTGGCTTGGAATATCTTGTCATTATCTACAACAACTGGAATGCTGTTTCTTGAAGTTAGCTTGATGGCTTTCTTACTCCAAGGAAACTATGCAAGTGGACAGGAAGCATTGACGAGGACTTTTGTTGTCTCCGGGCTCATTGTGGGTTTGGATATTCTTCTCAAGGTATTCTTAGTTTTCCTCTCAAGATTTCCAACTTTATGCTTTCTTGTTGAGCAGTTAGTTGTGGTTGGAATTCATCTGTGTAGTGTTACTAAAAATCTGTTGGATAGACTTCATTCCTGTAGATGTGAAGAAACCAGGTGGCCGAAAATTTTCGTCCCCCTATTTAAAGTGGAATTTGATGTAGAGAGAATCTACTTTTCAACAAGTTTCCTCATAGTCTATGTTATCTGAGAGCTGCATCATTCCCGTTCGCAAATTGGGAACAGGATCACGGTATTCCATTGATGGTAAAATGTGGAACTAGGGTCGAATTTTGAAATAATTTAGTTAAAATTCCTCAAGGTATTTGTAAATGCAAGTTCTTTATAGAGTAGATGGCTGGTTAAATATGACAACGTTCAAATGAACAAGTTCCTACATTCTGCTTCCGAGTTTGATAAATAGGAAAGCACAATGTGAAGTTTTATTGGGTGTTGTTTATTCCCATGAAGATATGGAATTGGAAAGATGTAGGGAAAAATATATTTTAGCCGCTAAATTTTTAGTGCTCTAGAATGGAAATATACCATGTTTCCTTGTGATTGTACCATTACAAAGTTTGCTATGGCATTAGCTTTTTGGGTGGCTTTGGTCATACTTGTTTAAGTGAATAGATTGCAATTTAGTGATACAATCAAGAACAGATGAACAATCGTTTGTTTGGACTTCAAAAGGAAAAGATCTTTTGTTTGGACTTCAAAAGGAAAAAATCTTTTGTTTGGACCTGTTGAACTCATGATTGACCTATTATTGTTATTATTTTTTTGGTGTTTGCAAACACTCTTATGTAGTTGTTTGCTTTAATTTTAAAAGCATTAACGGTTTGAGATGGATACTCATGAAGTTTCTATTCAATTTTTCCTTCTCTAGTTTCTCTGCATTGTGTGCAGACATGGAGTGGCATACATTAAGATAGTCTGACCCAATAAGGAGAATCTTATTGCTTGCCCGCAATTAATATCAGATGATGCCAATGGTTAACTTGAGTCTTCGTTTTCAGTATCCTTGGTAGCATACATAGTGCTTTTGAGCAACCCTAAGGAATAGACAGATTAACACTAGGAGCCCACTTTAATAGGTTAAGGCTCTTAGTTTGACTCTTCCACTGTGTGCATGTGCCATGAAATATTAGTCAGTGTCCCTAGCACCTCAATGAAGCCCACCTTAGAAAAAGAAGAATTGCATGAGTCCTACTTTTCCAACTCAAGGCAATTGAATCCGATCAACTTTTGTTTTAAGCTCCATGTATGTCCCAAGTATTTTTTAACAAAATTACCTACCATAAGAGACAAACGTGTGTTATGCTTCCACTTCCATCTGCCTTCATATGAGGTCGACTTGTAGGCCTCTTAGTCTGAGTTCACTTCAAAATTGAGCTGGTCTTTTTGGTTTAGTTTTGTTTTGTATTTCTACAAGCCTTTTGTGTTTTTTCGTATCTCAGCAGGCCTCTTAGTTTTGTTAGCTCTCTCTCTCCCCCCTCCTCTCTACCCCCCAATATTTGTCTTCTTTTCTTGAGGTGGATCACAACTTTCTCTCCTATATTCTTTGGCATTGTGTCGGTTATCTAATTTGCAATTCATTGTTTATGGTTGGCAGTGGTTAGTATTGATTCTTCATAGTACATATTCACAGGGAGTTACATTGCTGAAAATAGCTTTGTGTCTTTATCTCCTTCCATCAACTGCCCATCTTAATGTTAAAGTCAATGGCCCGTATTGTTATCTTGGCTAGCCAACAATGTTTAGGTGCTTAAATGACCATTATAAACTAACTTGGAAATTATTTGAGATGTGTTTAATACTGTTGAACAACTAAAAAGGGGAGTTAGAAAGCTTAAAATTGCCAGATGATTCTGCAATTAGCATCTATTATTTCCAAAATATTTACAATTTGTGTAATAGGTTTTGTTTGTAATTGTACACTTTTTATCCCCAATTATCCTGGGATGACAAATTTGGAGGTTGAAGGCAGTAATGTAGTTTGACAAGAATCTGTTAAATTTGTATTAACGCATTGCTAATGAAAGCATGAATTTTTGGAAATTGTTATCAAATTATGACTTTATTTTCGTAATAACAATTGATAGGACTTAATGGTCTGTTAAAAGAAATGTAGGACTTGAGCATAATTTTCCCTGGAGAAGTGCTTTGAGTGAGAACTCCAAACAAATGCTTGTCATTTCTCAGCTCATTTTCTGTTATCTCGCATTGGGGAGTTTGAGGCATTTGTCTTGCATCCTTTCAAATTCTGAAACCTTGTTCGTGGTCATGTTGAAATTTTGCACGGAGGGGTCAGTATGGTAACTTCAACGTTGTTCTTATTTGCATATGTGTCTCTTGTCTGTCTCTTATTTCCCAATTGTAGTTGAAAAAGCATGTAGAATATGTTTATGCCATGATTTTAGAATAATATAATCAGTTTCTTGTTCAATGTGTTTATTTATTAGGCAATCTACTTGTTTGGATTTGGGATTCCATTGTTCATTGATAATAATGACAACACGCGCCGAATCAAATGGGGTTTGTGGGTTGTCCACAAGCTACTCCTTACTGCAGTTTATGGCTTCATATTCTTTATCTACCACTCAAGATGGAGAGAAAGGTTACCTGGTGAGTTCTTGTAACATGTGCATTTGTTAAAAATGTGTTCTATTGACATTCTAGTTCAACCTGATATTTTTCTCTTAATTTTACAGCGAGACCTGCATTTTACAACTACATCACTGTCATGTTTTGTTTGAATGCGACCGCTCTGTTTGCTTGTGTGCTTACTGGAAATGGGGCTGGGTTTGGTTTATGGTATGCCTCCACGTATCTTATTGTTAGAGTAATGCAACTCCTTCTAGGTTTTTCTTGGGCAACTGTTTTCTAAGGGTTTTGATGTATTATTTTACAGGTTGTATGATGTCACTGTTATTTGCTACCATGCCTTCTATCTTCCCCTTTTATATGTAACCTTTCTCGCAGACTTTTTCCAGGTCAGCTTCTTCTGTCCATTTTGAGTTCTTTATTTTCTCAAATATCATTATCTTATTTTTGATGAGATTCCAGTGTAGCCCAATTATAAGTAGTATTTGATGACTGTAGGAAGAAGATTTGCATTTGGACAATGTGTACTACTCTGAGATGAAAGATGCTGGTTTTTTTGACGTTGATTGGGAGTGATATGGTAACAAACTTCTCAATCAATCTGTTTATAATTGTAAATAAGTAAGTGTTCCCCCACTGAATTTGGTGGCTTATGCTAAAAATCCCCCCCCAAACACAAGTAAAGGGAGGGAGGTTCCATTAAGTCTGTATTACTTCAATGGGTATTTTTCATTTTGCAAATGCTACTGTAGCAATGTTGCAGGATAATACTAGTGCATTACAAGATCATGGATGGTTAGTTGTGTACATTTCTTGGCGTTTTGGGTGGATATGTTAGTTATCATTTTGTTTGAAGAACTTTGGTCTTAATATATGATTATACAAAGATTGGTTGAGTTCCTAGATCTAAAACCAGTGGGCATATAGTAACCATTAGTTATTTGCTTTTATACTGGATATGCTAGTTCATATCGTTCTTTTTTGCGCTTGTTGTCCTAGTTTCACAGCTTGTTTTCCACTTGGCATGTTTGTTGTTTTGGTTCTCTCTCTCTTTTTTGTGACTTCTACCCCTTTGCAATTTTGAATGTCAATGTGATTTACATCTTTTAGTCTTGCAAAAGAAAATGATACTTTTTCGAAAAAGGTACAGGTCTGGCAAGAGGTGGTGGACTTATAGAAAACTAATAGTCATTTTGTCATCCCTTGTATTTATTTTTCATCCTTGATTTCTCATTCTTCATAATGGTACCGAGGTTATTGTATGCATCTGGAACTTACTTTGCAATTACTGGTCTAAAAAGTGCTTGCCTGGGGGTCTAAAAGTTAAACCACCACCACCGTCATGACCCACTTCCACCACTTTTCTCACCATTGCCATGACATTTCACAATTGGTCACCACCCTCTCTGATCACTCCCACCACCACCATCACCACTATTACTACCACCACCTTATCACTACTACTCGTCATCATCATTACTAGTAATTGCCAACACTACCACAAAACCACCTACCATCACCTTCATCAATGTCACTACCACTACAGCTACCCCCAGCACTTGCCATTATTACCACCACACAATCTATCATCACCATCACCAATGTCACCACCACACTACTACTGCTACCACCACCCCTCCATGATCACCATCACCACTCGCCACCACTATCAACCAACAACACTATTGTCGTAACAAATGTGTCAACGTTTGTGTCCATGCATTTGAGATATATTAGTAATTGTGACATAATAAGTGTTTTTAAGTTGACCATTCAAACTCATTTTTTGCAAAGTACATTTTATTCAAGTGTTTTGTTGTGAACCTTCAAACATTACTTATTAAATGAGTGTTTTTCTTATAATGTATTTTTAATAAATACTTATTTCAGAATAAATTTTGAATTTCATAAGTTGTTCCCAACGTCACCTTAAATAAAAACTTCAAAAAAACAAAAAATATAAATAAAAATATTTGAACAAAAACATTTATTCACAATCTTACTTTTTAGGTCTAGATTTAGGAAAAAAAATGCCCTCGGCTAGCTTGATGGTGTTTATATCCTTAAATTTTGCTATAATTCTATGACAACGACTAATCGTGTTCGTTTGAGTGTTAATCGAGTTGAATCTTTAAAGTTTTAATATATTCAAAGTTTAAGTTGACTATAACTTGTTTAACATCGGCTTGAGCTCGGTTGCAAATGTTGAACTCTTGTTCAGGTTTATCTGTAATAATCCAAAGGTTTGAAAATTGATAATGTTTTATGGATTTTTGAATAAGTATGCATTGAAATAATAGAGCTCGAACTATTCAATTGTTTAATAGCTTGGAGGAGATGCAAGTTAAAATGACATAAGTTGTTGAGGTGCTTACTTGTAATTTCACCTATAATAAGGCCAACATTATTGCTTTGAATGAGGTTGACTAAGATCTCTCTGTCACAATAATATTTTCAAAAAATAATAGTGGAAATTAAAAACAAGTACAATATGACAATTTATTTTGTCAAAAAATATAAGAGCGAATTTATTGGGTCATTAAGGACGCATGATATGCACTATTTGGAATCTTGGATAACAGATCTATAAGACTCCTTTCGTTCTTTCTTTTCTTTTTTATTTATTTTTGGTTTGACCTTGAATTATTCTCTTCAATTTATTTCGTCCCACTCTTTCAGTATCCTCTCCCTTCTGTCAATCCCTCTTTATACTTTTTATTTAATTTTTCCTCTTTCTTCTTTATTGCATCCCTCACATTCGCTCTCCTATATCTCTTTCGACCTACATTTTCCTTCAATTTTTCTATCCTTTTCCTTCGTCAATTTCTCTTCTATTTTTTATTTAAATTTCCCTCTCTCCTCTCTCTTCCATCCTACTGATTGTATCTTCTCTCTCTTCCATATCACTCCTTCAATCTAAACATTGTATTACTTATTTTAATATTTCTTATTATGACAGTTCATATTCAAATCAATGTAGAATGATGACAGTGAGATATTTTCACTATCCCAAGACAATAATAGTGTCCTGAAACAATAACAGTGGGGTATTTTCACTGTTTAACAACTGTGATAGTGGTACTGTTAACAATGAGATTTTTTCACTGTCTAGGACAGTGACTATAGCATTTTACTATTATGTCAAGGGTTTTGTTTTTGAGATATACTTTTGTAATGTTGGTTGAAGCATTGATAGGCATGTTTATGCTAAGCCTTTAGGTTTTTGTTGTTGTATATTGGTTGAGATTGAGATGTAGTTGAATGGATGAAATATGTAGTTACTTATGATTAAACAAGTTGTGTTAGTGTTACACAAGTCATGTTGAATTAGTGTTACAGGGGTCACATGGGTCGTGTTGACCCAGACACGATCTGTGTATTATTCGTGTCATACTAGTCGTGTAGAGTTATTCATGCTAGAAGTAGATTGTGTTTGGGTCTGATAATTTAACACGTCTAATTACCCAGGTTGTATTTGGGTTGAAGAATTTTTGACCTTAACCTACAAAAGACACGACCTAAACACACACGATACGACACGATTATTACCCCTAATTTGAATCATTCATTGGTTTGGTAGTTCTTCAATACAATAACGGGAAAGTGCAAAAATCCATACACCATGAAGTCAGCTCGTTCTTTGTTTGGAAATGTTGATCATATTCCTTAATCCAACTTTTGGAGAATAAGCCATATAAAAAGAAAAAAAGGCAAAAAATTAAATAACAAAGCATTAACAATAAATCTTGATAATAACAAATTATTCTTTTAAAGTTAGAATTATAAATAAATAAATATGGGTAAAAGTCACCTAAAGTAAAAAAAAAAAAAATTGGGTAAAAGTCGGCCAAAATAAATTTTTGAGTGAAAAGTCACAAAAAGTAAAATTCATTGGGTGAAAGTAACATAAGTAAATTATTCGAGGTTAAATTCACTTAATGTAAAAGTGACTTTAAGTAGAACTCCTAAGGTAAAAATAACCTAATGTAAAAAATAACTTTAGAAAAAAGTCACCTAAATGAAAATTATTATTATTATTTTATTCACAATTATAAGTCTCTAGATAAAGTTATCTTGATCAAAATTTCGTCAACTTAAATGACACAAGTGGTATCTAAGATAACCAAGAAACCCCGCCTTGATCAAAATAATCAAGAAACCGCGTTTTGACCAAAATAATCAAGAATTCAGTTGTTGCCAATAAAAAGAAAATTGATTGAATAAGCAAAAAAACAAAGAAAGAAAAGAAAGTAAACTATTAAAATTGGAAGGCTGTGCACAAAAGTCATACCTATGGTTAGATTGAATTGAATAATATTTAGTTACTTTATCTTGATATACTTGAGAATCAAAAGGTCTAACAAGATTATCTAAAAAAAGTCAACTAAATCCCTCCTTTAAAAAATTTATAGTCAAAGAATTGGAGATGACTATAAAAAAAAGGTAACATTGCACAAATCAACGTTTAGAAGAAACGCAATGCTAATAGGTGGAACATCTAGTTCTAACAAATCTAGCTAACTCCAAGGTTGGGTAAATGATTTTTGCACAATTCCTGCTGTTTGTCGGTTTTTGTACAATTCGTTAAAAGAACAATTTTGAAAAATTGCTAAAAATTGAATTATTTTGAAAAAACTTGCTAAAAATTAAATTATGAAAAGAAAATACATATTAAAAAAAAAAGGAAAAGTTAATACTTGAACAATAAAGAATCTTGGAGCCTCGTTGGATCCAGCAATACATTTTCAATATATATATTTTTTTTGTAGTCTTTTTTTTTTTTTTTTTCATGTTCAATTATTTGTCTATTATTCAATTTTAATCGTTTTAAATGAAAATTTCACACTCAATTTTATTAAAATAAATCACATTTTTATATTTTTATGTGATCGAGAGTGTAATTTGACATCAAATTCGTCCCATTAGTAAAGAAAGTCAAAGATGAATGTTTTTTTTTTTTGTTTTGATTTACACCTGATCACTTACTCTAACATAGTAAGGATCAAGTGAAAACTTATAGATAAATCAAAGATGAATGTTGCTGGGAGCAATATTCAAGCCAACGGTGTCGTAAAGAGCTAAGTTCCAGAAAAAGGGTTTTGTCAAAGAAAGTAGCACTTGATGATTCTTGGACCTTAACACGTTCAAAGGCAGAACCAAAACTTATTCTGTTGAGGTGTATGGACCATCTTGTTTTAGACGGATTGAGAATCCATATAGATAAAGACACATGTGAGAATTTCATGCTGATTTTGAATAGGAAACAATGAGTACAAAAAAATTAATTAAATAAAATCAAACTCCATTTTAAATCAAAATATAAATTGAGACTCGTTTAATTTTTTTATACCTAATTGTATATTCAAACAAGTCTTGAGCAAACATTTATATGAATTAAAAATTTAATAAAATAATGTTTATATTGTATGAGAAAAAAAGTAATGTTTATATTGTATCTCGAATCGAAGGTATCGAAAAGATGATATAAGATTTTGAGATAAACGAACAAGAATGTAACTCCTTCCAGTAAAACGAACAAATTATCAGAGATTGAGGTTGATCGGCTGAAAGCACTC